ATATTTAAATTTAAAAATTAATTAATTAAATAAATTTTTAAATTTTAAATTAAATTTTAATTAAATGAAAGAATGTGATTTAAGATTGGATTTTTGATGATCAAATTTCAGGAGCTGCAAGGCAACATTTGCCCACTTTCTAACGGGAAATGGTCCAGTCCTAAAGAATTTCGATATCCTACTTAAATCAGATTTTGGAATCATCACATCTTCCGCAAACACATGGTACTTGACCCCATATGTCCAAGTAAAATTATGATGTGGTCCTCTGCACTCAAAGCCATCACTACTCATTCTTTCCCATTAAAAGTAATATAACTATACAAAAACAAATTTGGCTCATCCTTTCACTAAAAGACCAAGCAGAACACGCTACCCGACAACATGGGAGGGGCCTGCATTCGTCAAAGTTGTAGTGACAAACAGGATCCTTCATCACGACATATAGTATCATATATCTCCTGTTTGGTTGCTCAGAAAATTCATCATTCTTTACCCCTCATAACCCAGAAATTAGATGATTTACATACAGTCAGATTCTGCTGATTTTTGTATTGTACATGAACTTGCAGCTAAATGGGTAAAAGGATATCCTTCCCTATCCTTAAGAGATGAACTCTAATATAATAGAAAGGTAATGATATATGGAAAATTAATTTGTAAATATTTTTCATTTATAATTTTTACATATTATTAAATAAATAAATACATACAATATTATAAATCTCAGTAAATTAAAAAAAATTAATCATTAAATAACATGTAACTATGTAAATTTGCATGAAAAAATAATATAATAAAAATTGTTCCTCAATCATTTTCCTAAAAGAAATCATTCTATCCTACCTGATTTTCTAGCTGAAAGTAAAATCAAAATCAGCTGAGAGATTGGCACCTGACTGCACCTCTGTTAAATTCGTCCCTAGAATCACTACAAGCAGAGACAAGCATTTTATTTCTGCCTAATGGTTAAGTTGACACTGACGTCAAAGAATTTTCTTGCTTTACATGGAAACAACAGAACCGTCTTTCTTGCTGCATGTGTGGAGGTGCATCTTTCCCCATTTTCTTCATATTTTTCTGGGATTAAATCATAAAAATCATTTCCAATATGACTAAAACTAATCAAATCTTCAATCAATTGCAAAATGGTTTTCAACTAATCATGTTTCTTCTCGTTCCCACCTAAAGTTGGTGGTAATTCAACCCCAACAAGAAATATATGCTGAAAAAGACATGGAATGAGATGGAATTGTATTCTTGTAGGGAGGGAGAGGCTGAGAGAAAAAGATATGATATGTGTGGAAGCTGAGTCAGTAATCAGTAGGGAGTAGTGACCAAAAATTAAGCAAATGGGCAGAGCACTATGCTACCCGAAAAGCAGACACTGAGTTCACAGATTGATGAGCTGAAGGCACCAATGCACAACGATTAGCGCCCATGGCCCCCACCACCTAAAACCATGGGCCTGATTCTCCTTTGGCACTTCCTACTTACACCCTGACTTTGCTAACTTCTTCCTGTCCCGAGAAAGCTATTGGGTAACCCCCTTCCCTTCCTACTCTTTCATTTTATATATGCGACTGAGAGATAAAGGGTTTGTGGATTACGTCTGACTAGAACTTCTGCAAAATTGTTTTACAGAATAAGAGTCCTATCTATGGGTCCCTAGTACCAAGCAGAAGACTGGATTGGAAAACATTCCCGGAAAATGTTCAGTATAGGCGCCAGTACAGGCGCCAGTACACCCACATTCAGCCTGTAAACAATCAGTCAATTGAAAATGACGAGATTTCCCCTCTCAGGAAACGTTTTATCTCTTTCAACAATCCCTTGTATCTTCCTGTATCTCTGTTTCCCTCATACCATTCGCTTCAATTCCAACACCAAAGTGCTGTAGCCTTCTATAAATTTTTTTGATCAGAACTTTATACCAAAGCAAATCAAGATAAAAATAAATCATAAATCCAGCCTGAGTAGAAAACAGCAAAATTTAGAAACAAATGAACATGATACAGCTTAATTGATGGTCATGACCAGAAGAGACCTTACTGATGGAGTCATGTCTGATTTTGCTTGTGTGGATAAGTTTATAGTTTGTGTTTCTGCTGCTGGGCTACAAACAAAATCAGAATCACAGACCAACATATAAAGTGAATCAAAATAAACCCTCTTAAAGATGAATAATCAATCAAGAAAGTGTATTTTCTCAACTGATTTATCCAGAATTATCAAGTCAAAGATCCTGATAAAAAGGCATACCCATAAAAGCAAATGCCTGAGTTAAGTAACAAACATACAGCAATATTGAGCACCTAAACTAGATGATGAATGCATATGGTGGCTAGATATACATGACTTCAGGAAGGATTTAAAGACAGTACGTTAAAGTCTGAACAGCTTGACCTAGGATGCCAATCACATTGCTGGTATGATCATCATTTTCCCCTGTAGAATAAAAAAAGAAACGTGACATGAGTGGCAGTGAGTGCGAGAGGGGTATTGGGAAGGAAAGAGTTGTTTTCATTGCCCTTACGTGTTCATCATTAGAGTTATGTTGTCTCCTTTAAGAAGAATCCTCCCTGCATAAAATCGAAGAAACAACAATTTAGAGGATGCTCCTAGAAGGAAAATGCGGAACTACAATAGCAAATATTCACCTAATGACTTTCTGCTCTTTTTCTTGATGTTTACTTCTTCAGCATCATCCAGAACCAAATTCATGTACTCATCAAAACCCTGTACCAAGACAAAATGAACACAAAAGTTGTTACTTGAACAGAGTGGAGGCATTTATCAGTCGACATTATCAAGAGTGCTTTATTTATTTTTTTGGCTAAAATCAAGTGTGCCATATGGTATGCTTCACATTTGATTTGGTCATCACCTTAATATTCTAAAGTCAAAACATAAATAAACACCCCTTAATGTTTCGATAATATAACAGAAGAATACCTTCTCCTATCTCTCTAGCCAAAGCATTTCAACACATCTTATAATTTCGAAACAAAGAGGATTACAAATCCAGAAGTTCAAAACACTTCTATAGGGTTTGGTTGGACTTTTGACTGGCTTTGCTAACTGGTCTCCAATGTTATTTGAGCTTTGAAAGCTAGTGACTTAAAGTAGAACAAGGTTGTCTCTAACCTAAAGAGATATTAAAATTGGTTTGCAAATCTTTCACTTGTTTGAAACAACCAGTATGAGAACATGTATGCCATTCTCTTCTTTTAATATTCAGTCCATTCTGTGTGCCAGTACACACCTAAAACCATCCTGAATTATTCCAAAATTATGACTTACTAATCAGCCAAAAACAGAAAAATATGAGGAGCTGTGGTAGGCCTACTAGCCCAAGTTCCTTAAAAGAAACAAAAAGGCTCCTCATCAGTCAGGTTTGAACCCTCTCCCCCCTCCCCCAGAGGGTTGAGTGCCATTTGTCCTACTCTATCAAAAAGAAAAAAAAGGAAAATATAATCAAGACTAATACATACAAAAAAAAGAGGATTCATAAACCCATTTAACATCAATAACTCTTGGAACATGCAACTTATCTATTGCTTAACCTAAGCTACTAAAACATTAAAACAACAGAGACAATAAAGAGCAATGCCAACCAAAGGAAATAATTTATCTCGGTAATATTAAAGAATATGCATGCTGGCCCCAATGAGGCACAGCATTCTTTTCTAAACAAAATAAACTAAATCAAAATAACAATTCCCTAAGTGACAGATTGTCAGTTATTGACATGCCTACATCACTTCGTTGAAACTTTACTGATTACTTTAATTCACAATAATAATTTTGCCATAAACATTGTTGCTTAAAAATAGATATGCAGAAAACTTACAATGATACGGCCTTCAATCCTCAAGTCTCGCTGCTCAAAAAGCCAAATCTGAATACGAGCTTTCTGAGGCATTCAAAATAAATAAATAAATAAATAAAACAAATCTTATTAGTTAAAACCTCAACAATTGACAGAAATGAACAGGAATCAGCCAATTCGAAGACAAAAATAAACACTGCAGCATAAATAGAGGACTTACGCTTTGGAGAAACCTGAAGATGAGGTTCTGTTGCCGCACGAAAAGCCCCACATGAAATGAGGAAACAGTAACCAGTAAATAGGAGCAGCAAAAAACATTTCAAAAACAAAAAAAAGCAAGGGAGATGCAAACAGAAAAACGTACAATTGGTTGGGTCATGATCCTCTGAACCTTAGTGCTCGCCATGGCTGTAGTTTGAGGTGTTTCTCAGTCAGAGAGGTTAAGCAGATGGCCTGAAAAACCCAAACTTCAGAATATTTTGAATGGCGCTCTTTTCTTACAAGCCCAATATGCCTTTCTAATAAAAATTCAAAAAAAAAATAATAATAATAATTTACCCATTGTGATGGAACCTATGGTTGTATTTCCCAACATATTGAACATCTAGATTGTAACATAGCTTTTCTTTTCTTTGACCCTTAACAACCAGGTGGAAGTCTATGTTAGCAACTAAAAATCTAACAACCTAAGTTAGTGACCAATCTAACAAAACATATGAGAATTAAAAGTACACAGACTCAGCTCTAAAAGGCAAATATAAGTAACACCTCAAAATGAAAAGAAAGTGCTAAGCTAACTTAAGTCAGATCACCATGAATTAAACGCTAGAAACCACGGAAGCTAGCCTTTCTAACTAATCAAGCAGAGGAACAGAAAATTCTTCCCCATAACTCTATAGTCATTGTTCATCGCAAAAGGGAAGCGAACCCAGGCTGGAATCACCCAATTAAGCAAGCTCTAATCCCGATTATATTACGAATCTAAACCAAGTTGTTCATCAAAATCGGTGCAGGAAAGACGCAAAATAAAATCAAATCAAAGGAAGAAAGGAACCAACAAAAAGACAGTAAAAGTACAAAGAAAGAGGAGTATACCGTACCGGAAGTGCGACGGCGAGGAGGCGCAACGCTTGGGTCTGTAACAGGAGAGAGAAGCAGAGTGCGAGATGGGGTTTAGGAAGAAATAAAGAGCAAATGGTTAGGGTTTTTTAAAATCCCTCCCCGGGTAGCGAAACAGTGTATTCCCGGCAGGACAATTTGTGTGTTCATGTATTGTTAGCACTTGTATTTTGACTCAAAAATAAAATATAGTTCTTTAACTTTTATTTTCAGCAATCAAGCCCCTCCAGCCCCTTTTTTTTTAAAAGAGAAATGGAAGTCCTTTTCTTTTGTCTCTTTATTTTTAGGAAATGGGTGAGAGATCATTCGCGAGATACCTTTTAATAAAAAAGCTACACTTAAGAAAAATCTAAGCAGCAAAAGAATAATACATACATTAGACAACCTTCATAAGATATTTTAATATAAGAAATAGTAAGGACAGTAGAGTTAATATTACTTTTTTTTTTTTTCTATTGTTTCTTTATCTCTAAAAAGTTAAATATGACAATTTTGTAAATTATTTGAGGTTTTAAGGCATTTTAGTTGATTGAAATGATAGTCTTTTAATAATTTCATGTTAATTTATAGGGTTTTTTTGTTTGTAAATGATACACATCATTAAAAGACAAACAAAATACAGTTAAATTAATTATTAAACTCTCAAACTTAATAAATTACAACTTTTAAGTTCATAAATTAAAATTTTTAAGTACTTAAATTTAAGTAATTAAGCTTAAATTTTTAGATAATACCGGTTATGATTAAAATTTAAAATAGATGGAACCCTAATATATTAGCATTTTTTAATTTTAATTTGATTTGTTCATTTTAGTTTAACTTTAAATTCTGGAAGATTTTGACCATCCCCTATATTATGCAAAATGGAGTATATATAACTTGGCTTTAAAAATGCATGCTGCATATTAAAAATTAGGCATTACATTGAGTTGGAAAAAAAAAAGGATAGATGTAGTGAACTTAGGTGGTTATGAATGTTGAAAAGTTGTTTTCATATTAGCAAAAGCCAATCAAAACTCGTTTTGTCTAAAGATATAATGGGAATTGGATAGGAACAAGAGAAATTTTGCATACATTACTATAACATAGGAACAGAATCCAACCCACATTTCTCCTTTTAAAAACACGATACATTATTGATAACCTAAGTAGCAGGGTTGAAAATGCTAGTGTCAACCAAAAGGAGACTAGAATGGTGGTGTCAGTGAAATTTTTGCTTCAAAACACTACATCAAGCTTTTTCTAGCCAAGTATTGTGATAGATACATGACTACAGGATAGACCTATAAAACTAAGGGATTTTGATTTGTTAATATTTTTTCTCCATCTGCCTGTAGAAATATTACTCATTAAGTTTGTCTAAACCTAAAACAATTTTTCTTGTTTCAGGCTTTCCCACAAGGTTCTTCTCTACATTTCCAATGCAATCTTGAGACTAATTGAAAATAAAACCTTGATGGATACAGATACTTTGCAAAAGGAATTTCCTGTTAGGATCCAGAGGCCAAGATCTCTTCTGTCCAAAATAAAACATTGGACTCGCGGGATGATGTTATAGGTGAATGATGAAGAAAGTCTTCCCACAAGGTTTGGCATACAAACATTTAGTGATGCACCTAACATTAACACACCGTAGATTTATACATATATATTTTTTGTTTAGGCATATCCGTCCTTCTTCCAGTTTTTACAGATTTGCTCAGATTAATTCTGTTCTTTGATCCACCCCTTGTAGCTTAAAATGATTCTTGATACGGACATACAGTATTGATAGAATGATAATCAGCTTTTATGTTGCTTAATTTGTTACATAGCACCCTCTTGGTTGCCGAATATCCCTACAACACATGTTTTAGGCTCCATATAACCCATTAGGCCATTACTACTGCTTTCCATCTCTTTCTGTTTTGCAGGTATAACTGCTAGGTGGAGATTCCAATATATCATAAATAAAAACATCACCACCTCCAAAAGTCGAATGATACAAGATCCTTGTTTCAACTGTTTCTACTTTCCCAGTGGTACTGTTTCTACTTTCCTACTGGCAGAAGGAAAGCAAACGCCTCATCCCATGGATTGACAGCTAAAGAAAAAGTAAATTAGTCTGTGAGCTGTTCGCTTTGTAAGTTTACTTCCCAATTGGATCTTAAGTAATTCTTGGAGATGAAAACATTTTTTTTAATGTAGTTTCATAAGAAATCATATTTTTAAATAATTCTAAAGACAGTTGACATGAACAAAGAATAACAACTTACTATTTACAAGTAATTCTTATTTTTTTAAAGTTCAAATACCACTTGACACAAGAAAATAAGTGACTTAATTATTACAAATCATCAGGCAAATTAAAAATTGATAACAAATCAATTTGTATGCCCCAAAAGAATATTACAAATAAATATTGGATTTTTCTTTTTGTGCCACAAAAGTCAAGGGCATTGACAAGGAAAAGAGTTCAGTACCGCTGGATTGATTGACTGTCCATCTTGCTTTTGTCCAATTTCTGGCCAAATCATCAATTCAGCCGTGTGTTATTGGTTGCTTCCAATTTCCTTGGAAAGCTATGTATTTTGGACCATTCAACTGACCAGTTCAAAATTTGACCTCTGAAATTTTTGTCTTTTATCCTTCAGTTTTGACCAGGTACTGATCCTTTGCAGTATTCTGACTTAATTGGAATTCTAGGAATCTTCCCAACATTCAACAACCGTTTATATATTTGTACTTTGGAGGAAAGCTGATATGCTTTGCCTGAATATGGAAAATCCAGGGTACAGTTTACTTCATCTCATTTGTTTCCTTGGATTTCAGCTCGTATTCCTGGCAGCAAACGGAGCAAGAGCAATAGAAGAAATGAAAAACTTGGTTAATGTTGGCTTGGTTCTGGATTTCAACTCATCAATTGGTGTCATGTCAAATACTTGCATTTCCATGGCAATCTCGGATTTCTACGCCACTCATTCAAGTTACAAAACAAGACTATCTCTACACACCAGGAATTCCCAAGATGTTGTAGGTGCAGCTTTTGCAGGTAAACTTTTTTGTACACCAAAAGTTCGTGTGCTTTGCTATTGTAGAATTCTGAAGTTACTTGATACCAACTCAGTTAAACTCTCTTATTAATAGAATATGTAAGCTATCTGTTAGTAAAGATAGCAGAGTGCAGTTGGAATGTTCTTTTCTTCTGGTTTATGTCATTTTGATGATTCTTCTATGCCATATAGACTTTTTTGTCTATATTTCTTTTTGGTATTTGGCTTGCATAGTTATTGCAGAGGCTTGAACACCTGAATTCAACCCCAATATTAAGGTTTTTGTTTTTATTTTATTGTAGCTATGGATTTGATCAACAATGAAGAAGTAAACGCAATTGTAGGGCCCCAAACATCAATGCAAGCTAATTTTGTGATAAGTCTAGGAGAAAAGGCTCAGGTTCCCATTATTTCTATCTCAGCTACAAGCCCCTCTCTTTCTACAACAGAAAACAAATTTTTCATCCGGACAGCACTAGATGATGGCTCTCAGGTGGAACCTATTGCATCCCTTGTTCAAGCCTATGGATGGCAGCAAGCAGTCTTTGTATATGAAAACACAGAGTATGGAAATGGCTTGGTTCCCTATCTAGCTTATGAATTTCAGCAATTCAACATTCAGGTGACTTCTAAGTGTGCAATCTCTCTGGAT